GGCGACGCAGCCCAGGGAGCCAAGTCTGGGTCTTGCGAACTGACGCCATGCGCTCTAACGCCACCCGTGGTCACAACTCCAGCTCGTCCAACGCTAGCTGCAGCACCCTCTCGGCGCGCGACCTTGGAGCCATGCCTGGGCGCACTTCCCCTCCGAGCTGCTCCACGCACTCCTGGAAGACGCGCTGCATATGTGGATCCGCCAGGCTGAACACCATCTTCGCCAGGCCCTCGCGAAACGCACTGCTCACGCGGAACCCCTTGACCAGGCAGGCCATGTCCGCAATCGAGCTGAGGCCGTCTAACTTCTGCCGCTGCTCCGCCCAGGCCTTCGCGTTCCTGGCTCCGACCTTCTCGCCTGCGTCTGTGAGCTTGCGCGCCACCACCATGGAGACCTGCACGCATGCTGGCCCCATCGTCACCTCGGGCAACTCGTTGCGCTTCGGGTCCTGTTGGTGAGCCTCGCGCATCCTCGCCGCCTCGACCGCGCACGCGCGGCCGGCGGTGAAGCCCGCCTTGATCAGGTCCGCCTCCTCGTCCATCGCGATCGTCACGAACTCGGCCGCCAGCAGAAGGCGGATGTTGAAGGAGTTGCCCAGGACCGCCCTCATGAGTATCGGCATGAGCTTGGCGCACATCTGAACATCCATAGGTGGAAGTTTGTCTATGGCATCGGCTGGCAACCCGTACGACTGGCCGACCTTCATGCGCGCGTCTGCGGGAGGCCCCCCACCGCGGGCGGGGGCAGCAGCCTGGGGCTGGCGAGGGCCGCGCCGTATGGGAGCCGCGCTGGCGGGCTCGGCCTGCCTGTCCTGCCGCCGACGACCTCCACGCCGCTGGGAATGCACTGCCGAGCCAGAGCGGCCCCTGCGCGAGCCCCGCCCGCCGCCGTGCGACCGCGAGCGTGGAGCTCCTGCCGCCGCCAGCTGCCCTGCCCCCAGGCGGCACATCTGAACCCGCGCAGGTGAGCGGCACTCGAGGCGCGTGTCGACGCAAGTGAAGATTGAGAGCAGCTCGATCCTCAAACGGCTCCGTACAACTACAGCAATACTCCGTGCTGGCCTGGGCGCGTATCGGGCCGTAGACAGAGGCCAGCGTCAACTCGGACAGGGGACAAGACAAACTCTCTGGCTCCAGGACCGCGTGATGGAAAGGCGTGGTCAACGGAGGACAACGACCCTTAAGGACAGCTTGTACCGCGTGCTCCTGGGCAATGCGTCTAGTTCTGAACCCCTGGCCGCAAAACACGCACTCGTTGGTCACAATCAAAGTGTGCACGACCGTACGACAAGAATGCCCACCTCCTTTAGCAAATCGTTGATGAGCTAGCATAGCACGACGAGTAGTAAATATCCTGCCACAAGGGACCCCCTCTGAGTTCGGCAACGTACACTCCCAAATAGCTGCTGGTGGTGGGGGAACCTCAAGATCACCTCCAGGAGCCTCTGGAGGCACAGGAGGACCATACAGACCCACAGGAGGAGGAATAGCCACAGTAAGCGTAGCTGCTCTGAGAATCCCAGGATCGAGCGCCAAGAACTGCCCCCGAAGATCCCCATCCATGAACAGGGCCCGCACACATAGCCTAAGAGCGGGGTCTGACGAGGAGCCAGCGAAGAGCCAGGACTCCAAGAGCTCAGCCTCAGACTTCTGAACCAGGGCCAGGACGTCGGGCGCGAAGCGCTTGGCATATGGGTTCGACTGATGATGCAACAATCCCTGCTCGCACAAAGTCGGATGAGGCTCGATCGGCAGCTGCCCGAAGATCGCGCCCAACTCCTGTGGGTGCCGCCCAGGATGTCTCACCCATCTCTGGCACTGCCTCAACCTGCGCACCCTGAGCTCGACACTCGACGGGGCCACCCCCACGCGACGGAAGACCACGACATCGGTGAGGGCCCTGTAGCGAGCGACGGGGTTCCCCTGCGAGTCCAGAACAACGTTGCCCTCCTCATCTTTCTCCTCCACCTTCTGACACGCGTCGCCTCCGAGCAACTTCCGAGCAAAACCGACGAGCACCCTGTCCAGACGAAGCTCCTGAGCCTCCGAAAGCACCAGCGTGGTAAGTCCTGAAAGCAAAGCACCCTGGACCACGGCCCCGAACACGATCCTCGTAAAGCGCCGCACTCGATTGCTGGCCTAGAAACGGCCCATGGAGTAGTACCCCCGTCGACACGCCTGGATCCTTCTCTGCAGTTATCCCTGGACCCCCCCGTTCACCGCCGTCTGAATACCCAACGCAATGTTGTCAAACTGCACCTGTCCAGGAAGCCGAATGCACCCCCAAATCACAGCAGCGTTGTTGTCTTTCGACCCTGGACCGACGAAGGATGGCGATATGCAACTTTTTCCAGCATTGTGAGAGTAGCCGTCTTTAGCCAACGAGTCTCGCAGATGAACGTGTGCCTGCTCGAGCGTGTACTTGGCTTTCCTGGCCGTCGTCACAATGTGGGTCTTGTTAGTGTCGTCCGCATATACTATGCAAGATAAGTCCACAGGCCGCTGCAAGATGGGAACCCATGCCGTGCATATGGCCTCACTCGGCCACAAGATCTGATCAGGATCCGCTGGAGGCGACGGCGGCACCAAATCCTGAGAAGCCCACTCTGCATGCGTCTCAGGCCGAGAAGGGGGAGCACCACGCCACGTCTGCTCACGCAGAAGGTCCGTCCACTCCTGTATGGGAGATCGGAACGTGCGAGCGAAGAACACCGCAGCGGGGCTATCGCCCATGAAAGCTCCACAAAGGTTGTGCATCGTCTGCCCGCCGTCGGCGCCACATATCGTGAACGTGTTCGTCTCGTGGCGCTGATGGAAGTAGCACTGTGCCTCAGGCTGAATCGAGGCCTCCACCGTCCGTCTCAACGCCGAGAAAGTAGAACAGCCGAAAGCCTTCGCCACATCTTCCTATGCTGTGACCGTCGAGACTCCCAATCCACGTAGTCGCCACAACAAGGCCTCCTGACAAAGAAGCGCGCCCTCGCGACTGCGACCAAGGTGATAACCATGCTCACGGTCAGGCACAGCGTCGGGAACTCCACGGCCCAACTGAGCTTTGTACCACAGCACCCCCATACGACACAGACCGTGAATGTACCGTCTCGCAGCGAACCCTTCCTTACTGTTATGCTTGTCCAGTCCAGTAGCCCGTGAACGATGCCATACAATAGGCGTCCGTCGCACTCGCCGTATGTGATGAAAGATCTTCTGCAAAGGCTTCAAACTCCGCTCGTTCGAGACCGCAACCTCCGCTTCCGTGCCAAGGCCGCGACGATCGCCTGCCAGTCGATGCCGAGGGACGAACTGAGCACGAGGGAGAGGCCTGTCACCATCCTCATCTTCGTAACCGTCGTCGTTCTCACGCCCGCGTCGCTTGCGATGTGACCCGTCAAACCTCCGGGTGGGGTCGAGCACAATCATCAGCAGCTCCGACGGCACCGAGTGCAAGGGGGCCGCCTTGCGCCGAGCCGCTCGCTCGGCCAACGCAGTAACCTCAGCTAAGTCGTCTCGCCCAAGTTCGACGTGCAAGAAGTTGTCGCTGCCATACGGCCCAGGCCTAGGGAGGTCGTCCAGCAAGCAACTCTGGTACTCGGCAAACTCGACGGGCACTGCAGAGAACCCACCAGCATAGCCAGGCCCGCTGAAATACTCACGAATCTCGTCCTTGCTGGGGAGATACGACTCAGCAACATAAACGACGTCGACGGGGTCCACTGCATTTTCCAGCCAGTGAATGAGCCAGGCGCCACACCTCCGCGTGACGTCGACTGTCCCAGGCATCGCGTATTTCTCCAACCAGCAGCTCCGTCGCAGAATCTTGATGAGACCTTCGAAGATGTCGAAGCCGTCGACTGCATCGTGCCAGCAACAAGCTCGAAGCCAGATCTCCGCACCCACGCTCCCGTGCGTCACGACGCTCTCGCAACATCTGGCTCCGCGCTCGCTGGTACTCGACCACCAGCGGGTCCCGCGTGGCACCCTTCGCAAAGTGCCGCTCAGCCGTCGCATAGACCAACGTCATCCACTTCTCCCAGCCCAGGTCGGCCGAAGACGCGCCCACGAGCAGGTCGTGGAAGTCGGGGGCCTCCCCGAACTGCAACTCAAGTCAGCCATGAACTCGGGCACGCCCACTCCCTTCTTCAGCGCCATCGCGAGCCTGTCGAAGTCCCAGCGGGCCCCCTCGGGCCGAGAGTAACTCAGGTCGAAGGAGTAGGTTAGCTTCAGCAAGATCGGGACGTGATCGCACAGCCCGCGCCGCCCACCGAGCTTCAACCTCAAGTTCGTCCTGCGCAGACCCGTACAGAACTGCACCGCCGACATCTGCCACGAGAACACCGCCACGTAGTCAATGCAGCTCGACGAGGAGGAGGAGGGGGGGGGCCGCGGGGCGGAATGCGGATCGGCGGCAATCGGCACCCAAGGCTCGAACCGGCGGAGAGCGGCAGGCCAGCGGGGCCTCCGCGGAGAATACGGAGATCCGGGTCGGAATCCGAAGGCGCATCGGGTCCGGATCGGAATCGGTCGATCCCGCGGACCGAGTCGAGTCGCCCTTGCGGGCGATACTAATCGGGGATGGACAGACCGCCCTTTAGTAAAACGTGGTTTAGTGAAAACGTCTTCGGGCCCAAACCTGGCGGGCGCAAGCCTGGAAAATAACGGCCACGGCGCCCTCTCGAAAACCGAAAACGGACAATTTACTAATCGACGTGTCACTGTTGGGGGTTCTGTCCACCCCCGACTAATATCCATATCCAGTGCGTCTAGGACCTCCTTGCGGAAGGGCGCCGCAAGAGGGGGTTGTGCAAATCATGCCCGGCGGCATGTGCGCGGCCCAGCGGGGGGGCCAGGGACGCAATGAAATAAGAAGAGGCGCCATGAAATCTGGGGAAATATCAAGGACCACGCCATGATATCCACCCCCCCCCCTAGTCATCACCCCCCTCTTTTCCGCCCCCGACAAGCGCACTGGATGTGGATATAGACACTGCCCGCAGCCCTGGCCTCGGGGTACAGGTAGAGCCACTTCTTGGCGCGGTCGAAGCTGCGCACGGCGCCGCCCTCGACCTGCGAAGGGGCGGCTCCCGCCGGCGCGGGGGGGGGGTCGCGGCTGTCGTCGGAGGCTGCAGAGGGAGAGAGCGCGCTTCCGCGGGGCGGTGACGCCACGCTTGCAGCCGTCGTGCTATCGCTCCGGTCTACCCAAGAGTGGGTCCAGCGAACAGGGGGTGGTGCGATAGATCTGGTGCAGTAGTTTTCTGTGGGGGTGCAATAGATCTGGGGCGTGCAATACCTTCTCGGGCGCAGATGTATTTCTGGGTTATCGCATGCAATACATTAGCGGCAATACATTACAAAACAAAACAATCCTCTGGAGCAATACATGTGCAATACAATTGCCCCGAATCTATTGCACCACCCCCTTCTGCTGGACCCCTTTTTGGGTCGCGAGGAATCCCTTACAGTCGGACCTAGGCCAGAAGAGTAGCCTTCAAGCACATGAGGCCCCTTGTCGGCCAAAACACGCAGAAAGAACTTCCAACAAGCACTAAGAACACCAGGGTACCCTCCCCGAGCCGACCTCGATCTGATACCTCGGTCCAAATGTAATGAATGGGCACTGGGAGCGGCAGGGCTGGCTTTGTACCAGAACACTGTTTCTGGAGCGTGCGAACTTGTTTGCGCAAGAACAGCTACAACATACAAACTACAACAAAAACGTTTCCCGGGGGGGGGGGGGAAAAAGAAGAATAACAACAACAACAACAACAACAACAACAACAACAACAACAGCAGCAGCAGCAGCAACAACAACAACAACAAACGCTCCGGGATCGGAACAGGAACGGGAACGGAGATCCGGGAACAAAAACAGCGACGGAATCAGGGAAAGACGGCAGCGTCACCTGCACAGCAACTACAGAACGGAGCAGGTAAACAAAAAAAAATGCGCCGAGTGCTACCACGGGGAATGCCGAACGAGGAACAACGAGGGGCGTTCCTGGCCACGGCGAGCCTGGGCCACGACGGAGCTACACGACCTGGACCTCGGGAAGGGTCCGGGAACCGGAGCCTGTCCCGAGAGTGAAGCGGTCCTTCCTGCGGCGTCGTGGCTGCACGAAGGGATGCCGGGCCCCGGGACGTATTAGGCGTGTCTCATCTGATGCGCCCCGCCGAGTGCCCCCTCTGTCTGCGCCTGCTCCTCTATCTCCTCCTCCTCCTCCTCCTCCTCCTCCTCCTCCTCCTCCTCCAGCGAGCCAGCGCAAGAACCTCCATGGCGTCCCAGGCCTGTGCGAGCACGGCCTCGATGAGTTGTAGGTACTTGTCTGGGGCCATGTGCGAGCCCAGCCCTACATGATATTCCACGTGCTCACGTACACACGAACACCCGCCGATCTTTCAGACCTGAGTGCACTACTGGATAGATCATGCCACCATCCACCTCGTCCCCCTTCCCTTCTTCTCCTTCCTTCTCCCTGCCTGCGGCTCGGCCTACCGCGCACAGCAAAAGTCATAGATCTGGGCATGGGTTCGCAGACCCATGCCCTGCCAGGAACTATAGCGCACGAGAGTCACTCCATTATTTCTGTATCGCTGCCGTTGCAGTGCTCACCACCGACGAAACTATCGTTGGGCAATCGGGCCACCTCTACTGCGCGTAAATCACAACCCGAACGCGACTCCAACGGTGGCGCTGTCGGAATCCTAAGAGAGGCGTCCAGACGGACTGCAGCCAATAGTACAAGAGAAAGCGCAAGATAACAGTCTCCCAAGGTTGCCCATCTGTTGCTGAACCACGCCGTACGCACGACGCGATCAAGTGCAAGGCAAACTAATACAACACGAGGCATCCCGGCCAGGCAACATGTTTCTTGTCTGCGTCTTGCCATTCGCCTGCCCGCCTCTCCACAATCCTCGGACCATCATGCTCCGTCACTCTCGCAATCCACATCCTTTTTCCGCGGTTTCCTCCTCGCACTGACAAGCCCAGCACCGCGCCCCCGCTCCCTCCCGAACCAATCCTGCTCGGGTCTTTCTCTAGATTCTCTCGCCCTCCACACCGTCGCGCATCATCGATGCCAGCACGCGGGATCTGACAAGAGGGCATGACAAGCGCGACCATGTAGCCCATCAGAGTCCACGGGGCTCCTGAAGAAGGAAATGAAACTCGAGCGTTACTACACGAAGCTTGAAGCCAACTAGGTCGCCTTACTGACTCCCAAACTACACTCCCGTCATCCTTGGCGCCCCCACTCACCGTCGAAATTACTACCATCACGATGTGGCCGATGACAGCGCCCACGAAAACGGGACATATATACACTAGAACCATCGCGCGCTTCGCGCGCGCTCAACTCATGGGGTCATGGGATCTCGATGTCTACAATGGTTTCAGGGGCAGCCAAGAGGACACGAAGACGATCCAAGAGAGTGCCAAGACAGCGTCAGAGAGTTCAACAGCATTCCCGAAACATTTTTGCATGTGACCCCGAAGTCTTGATGGGGCTCGAGGAAGAGGATAGGGAGTAGGAGTCCAAACTTGATAAACCAAAGAACAAAACTTGAATGCCCTCTCTTTTTTCAAATTCCTCGGTCTTGGAGCGTTGGAAGCGGGAAAACGTGAGAAGGCGAAAAGCGTCGACAAAAACCAGTGGAAAACAACGACTTTACCCTCTTCGGGCTCTCTCGGGACGTCTCTCGAAGCTCTCTTGGACTGTTTTGGGAACCTCGTCGGGGACTTTTTGGGAGCCTCTCAGGAGTCTAGGGTGTGTTGCAGGCCTCTGGGGGTTCCCGGAGTCCTCTCGGGGGTCTCTGGCGGCCTCCTGCTCCCGCTCTTGTGCTCATCTTAAGCCTGTTCTGGGGTTGTCTGGAGCTGTCCTGGGCGCCTCTTTGGCAGTCTTGGGACCGTCTTGGCCTGTCTTGGGGCCGTCTTGGGGGCATCTTAGGCGGTCTTGGGGGCCTTGTTGGCAGTCTTGGAGCGTTGGCAGCATGAAATGGTGAGAAAGTCAAAAACAAATAAAAAACATCCAAATTATCGATTTTAGGTTCTCCGGGCGCTCTCGGGAGGCCTCTCGGTCTCTTGGAGGCCTCCTGGGAGCCTGGAGAGCCGCCCGAAAGCTATCCTGGATTGCTTGGGAGCGTCTTGGGCAATTCTTTTACGTTCTGGGGGCTTCTTGGGGTCGTCTTGAGCTGTCTTTGAGCATTGTGGGGGCTCCCAGGGAGACCGGGAAGCGCGGTACCAGGAGAGTACACGAGATGTGAGCGAGGTGGAGGGCGCCCCGGGAGGGGGCCAGGCGTACTTGTACATATGATACATGTCTATATATATATATATATATATATACATATATATATATAAACATAAATAGACTTACCTAGGCACACATATCTCATGTTAGCCAGTTGTCGGGTACATATGTCTACATACGTAAATGCATGCATAGACATATATATATATATATATACATATATACATAAATACTACACCGTCTATAACGAGAGTTCAAAAGGAACACAGACATATTTACACTGAGCTGCATACAGATGTATAGATGCATGTGTTAGCCAGCGCGGAACCAATTAAGGTGTTTCTAGGAATATATGTGGTGCAATCTATGTGGAGCAATTCACTTGCCGAACTTGAAGTTGCCAACTTCACTGCTCGCGCAATCATCCCACCCACCCACCCGCAACTTGGTTTGCAAAATCTATTAAGACCGTGACGGTGGGTGCCAAATGGCACTTGGCAACGACAGCGACGCCGACGACGACAGCGACAACGACGACGACGACGCCGCCGACAACGACTACGACGACACCGACGACGTCTCCAACGACTTCGACGACGACGACGACACCGACGACGACGACGACGCCGACGCCGACGACGACGACGACGATGACAACGACGACGACGACGACGCCAACGCCGACGACAACGACGACACCGACGACGACGCCGACGTCAACGACGCCGACGACGACGACGACGACGACGACGACGACGGCGGCGGCGACGACGACGCCGACGTCGACGACGACGAAAACGACGACGACGCCGACGCCGACGACGACGACGAAGACGACGACGACGTCGCAAACGAAGACGACGACGACGAGGGAGGAGGGAGGACGACAACGGCGACAACGACGACAACGACGGCAACGACGAGGGGAGAGGGAGGACGGCGACGACGCGAACGACGAAGAAGGAGGAAGGACGGCGACGCCGACGACGACAACGACGAGGGTGGAGGGAAGACGACGACAACGACGACGACGACGACGACGACGACGACGACGACGGCCCGACACCGAAGGTGTTTTGCAAGGGATTCGTGGAAAAGTCTTATGTTAGAACAAAAGATGTCCCCACGTATAGTTTTTTACAAGGGAGCCTCAGGGGGGGGGGGCGATACCGGTTCCCCTGCGATCGGGCAAATTCATATTTAGGATGGATACGTGGTCAGAATCATATACGAATTACATACCCGAAAATGGGGCCGATAACGCCGGGGGGGTAGAGTCTATTTGTTCTTTTTTAGAAAGGAGACTCTACGTGGTGCAATCCATGTGGAGCAATCTACGTGGTGCAATTCACTTCGACCGTCTTGGAGCTGTCCTCTCCACTGCTCGTGCAAACATCCCACCCTCCCACCCGCAACTTGGTCGCGAGACCTCTTGAGACAAGACCGTGACGGTAGGTGCCACATGGCACTTGGCCACGACACCGACGCCGACGACGACAGCGACAACGACGACGACGGCGCCGCCGACATCGACTACGACGACACCGACGACGTCGCCAACAACTCCGACGACGACAACGACGACGACGACGACACCGACGACGACGACGACGACGCCGACCACGACGACGAGGGAGGTGGGAGGACGACAACGACGACAACGACGACAACGAGGGAGGAGGGAGGACGGCGACGACGCGAACGACGAAGAAGGAGGAAGGTTGGCGACGCCGACGACGACAACGACGAGGGAGGAGGGAAGACGACGACGAGCCGACGACGACAACGACGACGACGACGGCGACGAAATAGGAGGGACGACGACAAAACGCCGACGACGGACGACGACGACGACGAGGGAGGAGGAGGAACGACGACAACGGCGACAACGACGACGGAAACGACCACGACGCCAAAGAGGACGACGACGACGAACACAGGAAAGACAGAGGACGACGTAGGCGACGACGACGACGACGACGCGGGAGGAGGGAGGGCGGCGGCGACGACGACGACGACGACGACGCAAGAGTGCGCGCGCACGCTTTTGTTGAAAATCCGTGTTGCGAAACCTTGGGTTCTTGTAGGATTGTTTGGCCACGCGATTTTGAAATATTTCCGAAGCCGACGGGATTTGAAGGACTCCGGCACACGCGCGCGACGACGCGCGCGTCCGCACTTCGTCTAATTTTTTGCAGAGGATTCTCGCGACGGCACACGCGCAAGGGCGTTCGACAGAGTTCGACATGCGCGCGCGACGCCCGTTTGGTAGCATTTTGTGAAAATCTTGAAAAACCGATGGTTTTGGTAAGACTTCGCAAGAGCTCGCGCGGAAGCTTTTTTAGCAAATCAAGGTTGCGAAACCCTGTGCTTTTGTATGTTTTTTGGAAACTCGATTGCGAAATCCTTCCGGCACAGAAGGTTTTTGAAGGATTTCGGCATGCGCGCGCGACGACGCGCGCGTGTGCACTTCGTTTTTTTTGCAAGGGATTCGCGAAAAAGTCTCATGTTAGAGCAAAAAATGTCACCGCATAGTGTTTGTCACAAGGGACCCTCAGGGGGGGGGAAACCGGCCTAGCTGGGATGATATGATTTCATATTTAGGATGGACGAGTGTGCAGAATATATATATATATATATATATATATATACGTGAAATTATACTATCCCAGGGGGAAGCGTTAAGTCCGGGGGGGGGTAGAGTCTATTCTCTTTTTAGCAAGGAGAAAGAAGTGACAATTCCACTGCTCGCGCATTCATCCCGCCCACCCGCAACTTGGTTTGCAAACCCAGTGCTGCGACGATCGCGATGAGTGCTTGGTGTTGGATGGTGCATCTCGGTGGCCGCGCTAGCACTTCAGTGTGAATCGGTTACTTGGACGGGCGAAGTATCATGGCGACGTCGACGACGGCAGACACGATGATAATGATAGCGATGCTGGTGACGATGACGACGATGACGACGGCAAGGCTAATGACGGCGCCGACGCTGATCACGCCAATCACGATGACGATGTCCTCGCGTCGGTGATGAAGGTTTTGGCAGGAGTTAAACATGCGCGCGCAGCCGACGCGCGCGAGTGGCCCGCATGCTATTATTTCAAAGGGACCGTGCCCCCCAGCACGCGCGCAAAGGCGTTCGAATGATTTCGGCATGCGGGGCGACAGGCCCAATTGGCCGATCTAAGTGAAAAAAATGAAAAACCTATGGTGTTCTTAAGAATTCGCAAGAGCGCGCGAGAACCTTGTTTGCAAGCTGATGTTGCAAAACAATGCGTTTCTGTATGTTTTCGGGACACTCGATGTTAAAGTCCCTACGAAGTCAAAGGTTGCTAAAGGATTTCGGCACGCGTGCGCGACGACGCGAGCGTGCGCACTTCATCCCATGTTCTTCAAGGGAGTATTGACAATTGCTGAATGTTGGAAAACGAGCGTGCGCGCATATATTTTCTAGAATGGATGAGGGGGGTGTCAATGCCGGCCTGGCTGGAGCGGCATGAATTTATACTTAGAATGAACGAAAAGGCATAATGATGTGCACAGTGCAGCACAAAAAGATAGGGCGGATAATCCCGGGGGATGGTAGATCCGACTTTTCTGAAAAGGAGAATATACGCGGCGTTGCGCAATATATAGGTGCAGCTATCAACCATGCGCAAGCATGATATGTGGTGCAGCCATGTGATGCAAATTGTGTGGGGCCCTCTATCTGGTGCAACATGTCTTGGTGTAACCTACGTGGTGCAATCTATATGGGGCTATCTAAGTGGTGCAATCTACATTATGCAACCGATGCTGTGCAACAGATATGGCGCAATTCGTGTAGTGCAATCTATGGGGTGACATTCATGTTGCAAACAAATGTGGTGCAATAGATGTGGTGCAACGCATGTGATAGAA